AGACAGGAAAGATGCCAGAAAGCACCTTGCTATGAAAAGGAGCCCGCGGCACATTCCCGAGCTGCATGAGCTGTCCGGTGTGAAGGGGCTTCGACTTTTGCATAACAGAGGTCTAAAAAGCAAAAAATTAAAACCATTTTGCACAACAGCAGAAACTTTTTTATTTTTATTTATTTATTTTATTTTTTTTGGTCTTTTTGAGACAGGGTCTCCCTGTAGCCCCAGCTGTCCTGGAACTCACTATGTAGACCAGGCTGGCATTGAACTCACAGAGACCTGCCTGCCTCTGCCTCCCGAGTACTGGGACTACAGGCAAGTGCCACCACGCCCAGCCTGTTTTCTTTCTTAAAGCTACCCTGGATTATATCTCTTCCACGAGGCCTCCATCTAGTACCTCCCTAATGCCCAAAGAATTCCCTGGCTCCTTAGTCTGCAAGGGCTATTTGAATCTGAACGGTATAATATCAATAGCTTACATTTACTGTGTGCTGGATCCTGGCTCCTCTAAGTGCTTCCAATGATTAACTTATTTAATCCTCATACGTACAGATCCAGAGTTACACAGAAGTTATCCAACACTATCAGAGTCTGGACAGCACACTTAGATGGGGTAGTGAGGAGAACTTAACAGCAGGACTTGATCATCGTGTGAATGGAGCTGTTTCACTGAGACCAGCCCTGCCTTAGCCAAGGCTACAAGTCCCCCATTAAGGGCTAAGAACTTCCACAGAGGGACACCGCCATCCCACAGCAGCACAGAATGAATGCAGCTAGAAGGAAAAGCATCCCCTTCCTCTTCCCACATGTTAGTGTCTCCCATCTGCTGAGTCCAGCAGGGAAGCATAGCGAAAGCGCACAGCCATGTGATCCATGAACGTAGTCAGCCTCTTGGGGCACAGAGTCAGAGAAAGGAGGAAGGAATGCACCAAGAATATCCTAGACAGTGACTTTCCCAAAGTCACCCAGATGACTAATAGTCACCAGACCCCCAAGTAACTGCTTCACCATACTACTTCTCAGATATTTGATGATGATGATGATGATGATGATGATGATGATGATGATGATGTTATTGATGCTGATGCTGGTGCTGATGGTGCTGATGGTAATAATGCTGAAGATATAGTATTAATGATACTGCTGCTGATGGTGATGGTACTGATGACGCTGATGATGGTGATCCCATGATAGTGATAATGCTGATTATGGTAATGATGCTGATGATGTGATGGGATTGATGGTGTTGATGATAGAGACTGTATTGATGATGATGGTGATGGTGCTGATGGTGCTTACGCTGCTGCTGATGGGAATGATGCTGATGATGGTGATGGTACTGGTGGTGCTGATGAATGCTAATGATGGTACTGATGATGCTGGTAGTGATAGTGATGTTGATGTTGGTAATACTGCTGCTACTGCTGCTGATGCTAATAGTGGTGATGATGCTGATGAAGCTAATGGTGATGATGCTAATGGTGATATGATGTTGATGGTGCTGATGATGGTGATGGTACTGGTAATGCCAGTAATGTTGATGCTCATGGTGCCTATAATTCTGATAATGGTGATGATATAACGTCATCTCCCCCACTCCCAGAGTTTCCTTCTGCAAGGACGACAACTCCCAGGAAGCCAGCAGGATTCCAGAACTTCCCTCCTGAATGTACATGAGCACTTGGGTGAGTCAACACATGGGTATACAGAAGCTGTGGTTCTAGCTGAGTGTGGTGGCGCATGCCTTTAATCCCAGTATTCAGGAGGCAGAAGCAGGCAGATCTCTGTGAGTTAAAAGCCAGCCTAGTCTACATACTGAGCCCCTGTATAAAAAAAAAAACCAAAACCAAAACCAAAACCAAAACCAAACCAAAACAGAAGCCCAGGTCCTCTTCTCAGAACCCTGGAAGTTTCCGTAGATTCCATAGATGATCAAAAGAAGGTAGACCCATCCCAGGGGTTGAGGGGAAGCCCTAAGGTGACCTTGGTGGAAACAGGCAATCCTTCCCACCTTTCCTGGGCCCTGTGAGAGGAAAGCGATACTCTCAGGAGGGTTAGGACTTGCCAAGGCTGTACCTTGAGGTGGAAGCCACACCTAGACCTGACATGACTTCTCCTGGACCCACATAGGGCTGCACTTTGGAGCCTGCCTGAGTTGAAGTGAATCCCACATGACAATTCCCAGCTATGTGACTTTGAGACAGCTTCTGCTTGTGAAGCTTCAGTTTCCCTGTCGGTTGGGGCCTGTTACTATAGTTCTTACTAAAGGAGACATTTGGAGAAATGGATTGTGGATAGAACTTCACCCAAGGACTGTTATGTAGTAAAGTGTTTAAGAAACACCTCCCTGATTGGGTGTGGTAGCCAGTCCTTAACCCCATCACTGGGGAGTCAGAGGCAGGAGGATCTCTGTGAAATCAAGGTCAGCCTGGTCTGTAAAGTGAGTTCCAGACCAGCTGGGGCAGGGAGACTCTGTCTCAAAAAGACCTAAATAAATAATATTTATTTATCTAATAGTAATATTTATCTCCCATAGCTCCAGCTATCGTCTCACTATGTAGACCAGGCTGGCCTCTGTCTCAGAGATCTGCCTGCCTCTGTCTCACAAGTGCTGGGCCTAAACCCATGAGTCACCACACCTGGTATAAATAAAATATTTTTTTAAAAAGAAAAACCTGGGCTGGAGAGCTGGCTCAGCGGTTAAGAACACTGACTGCTCTTGCAAAGGACCCAGGTTCAATGACCAGCACCCACACGATAGCTACAACCACAAGCCATGGAATCTGAATTTAACCTGCCAGACCCCCAGAGGCAGTTGTGGAAAGCAGGAGGGCTAGATGCTGATAAGTCACTTGGTGGCTAACAACAGCAGGAGACTCCAGTTACATGGGATCCAACACCCTCTTCTGACCGCCACAGGCATTGTACTGCATGACATGGGTGCACTGACATGCATGCAGTGCAGGCAATACACTCATACACATAAAAATAATAAATAAAATATATAAAAAAAAGAGAAATACCTCCTCTTGTGTCTTAGGAGCACAATGCTGGTTCTTGTACCCTCTCTGATTGCTTATCTTTTTTAAAAATTTTAACTTATGTATATATTTATTTATTTTGGTTTTCTCGAGACAAGGTCTCCCTGTAGCCCCAGCTAGTCTGGAACTCACTGCATACCAGGCTGGCCTCCATCTCACAGAGATCCACCTGCCTCTGCCTCCCGCTTGCTGGAATTAAAGGCATGTGCTACCACCTGCTTATCTTTTTAATATCAACTTCCTTTGCAACTTTCAAAAGCTTCCCTGTGTGTGTAGCCTCCAGGCATGAAGCAGAGGGTTATTTCCAAAGCACAAATATGACTGTGGCCTGCCTCTGCTTAAGACCTTTCCATGGCTCCCCAGAGCCCTTCAGAGAAGGATCCAGTTTTCTGCCTTCCTACAGGCTTTGATACCCTGCCTCTGTCAGACCGTGGTCTGCTTCACTCCCTGTTTCAATGACAGCCACCGCCTTTTTAGTTACCCCTTTCTCCATACACACAAAATATTTAGGGAACAGACCGAGTGTCAGGCACTATCCTGGGTGCTGGAAGTACACTGCTAACAAAATGGAAAGAAAGATCTGCCTTCAATGGGGCAGGGTGGTGCACACCTGTAATACCAGCACTTGGGAGGCTGAGGCAAGAGGATTAAGAGTTCAAGGCCAACCTCAGCTATATCAGAGCCAGTCAGAATTACGGAGTGAGACCCTGTCAGGGAAGGAAATGCAAGAAAGGTAAGGGAGGGAGAGAAAAGAAGAGGCAGGGAAGGGAGAAGAAACACCTGTCCTCATGAAGCTGGTATCTGAGTGTGCTAGAAAGCACGAATGATTTATTTCATGTAAGAGGAGAACCACGTATGTCAGGAAAAAAGAGAGTTCTGGGCTGGCATTTCAGTTTTAGGAAGCAGGACTGTGAAGAAGATCATAGAGGGGTAAGCTCTGATGAGAAGGCTGCCTCAGGGACTTTGTACAGCCTGATCCTTCTGCCTACAATGTTTTTCCTTGCACTCTTTGCCTAATTGCCTCATCTTATGGTTCTCAGATCAAACAGCAGTACTGCCTTTGGCTTCCTCCTTTGGTTAATGGTACTTGTCACAGTTCATGGCTACCTGCCAGTTGTGACATTCTTTAATTATGCACTTTTTTCTCCCTGTGGGTCTGAGACCTGTGAAGGCAGGGATCCAGGGATATCCTGGGTACAGCTAGTCGCTGCTGCTGTGTCATGTGTGCATGGCTAGGCAGTGACTGGACACAAAAGAGGTGCTGAATGCACAGTCACAAATGAAGAGCTCACGTTTCCTGAGCACTTGCTCTATGCCAAACTGTGTGCTGAGTCCTTTATGGAAATGATCTCATTGGTGCTGGGGATGGAACCCAGAACCTCAAACGTATAAGGCAGATGCTATACACTGAGCTCTAGCCCCTCTCTGGGGGATTCTAGGCAGGGACTCTACCACTAAGCCATGCCCCCAGCTTCTCCTGGTAGATTCTAGGCAAGCTATCGGCCTCTGAGCCTAGCATGCTCAGTCTCTAAACTTGGGTTCTTGGTCTCATCCATCCTTGTTCAATATTTCACTGTCCTTGTGCTGAATGCAGTAAACTCAAAACTTGGGAGGCTGAGCTAAGAGAATCACCCAGAATTTGAAACCAACCTGAACTATGTAGTGAGTTCTAGGACAGCCTGGGCTACCCAGTGAGACCCTATCCCTGAAACAAAACCAAAACAAGATTTCACCGCAATTAGAATCCCAGCAAGGCTCCTCCACCTACCTGCCTGCTTGCCTTTTTTTTTTTTTTAACATTTAGTGTGTGTGCTTGAGTATGTGTATGTATGTACGTGTGTGTGTGTGTGTGTGTACAACTTGTGGGTGTTGGAGCTCTCCTCCCCCCATGTGTGTCCTGGGGATTGAACTCAGTCATTAGGTTCTCTCTAATAGGTGGGTTCCAGGGGTTGAACTGAGGTTATCAGACTTGGCGGCAAGCACCTTAACTGGCTGAGCCATCTTGCCTGCCTGTTGCACTGCTTTTGCATGCAAATGGGACAATAATGCAGTGCTGATTCTTTCCTGCTTTATCTTCTGCAGGCCTGGCTCCTTCATTGCTCTCTCTCTACCAGGATGAGGACACTGCTCAACCCAGGAACCACTTCCCACCAGCAGCAGGCTTGGCCCAGGCCCGCTGAGTCAGCCTTGCTTCCAACTCCTTCTTCTACCCCAGAAAGGACTGAGCCACACTCCACACCAGCAGCCCATATACAGGACGGGGCCTCTCTTTTCCGAGTGTCCCCGGCCAGCCTCGGTCCTACCTCAGCCCCCACCCCTCTGCCTTCAGGGGCTATTTGGGGTGTTCTCAGCTCAGTGACCTCTGGGAGGGGGTCTCTGACCCCTTCCTCTGCCTCTCAGGTCCTCCTTTGGGGTTCTTATACTTAGTTACCTCACTATCCCTTTCTCTGACTCTCTTGTCTTTATTTGGGAGAATTAAGGGGTTCGGATGGTTTGGGGATCAGGGATCTGTGTCTCTTATCCTGGCCCTACAGAGGTGGGACAACCATAATCATGTTTCTGTCCCTCTTTTGTTATTATTTTAATTTTCGTCCTTTTCATGATGCCGTGTTTAATTACTCTGCATTACACAGGGTCCCAGGAATGTGGAACTCTGGTCTTCCCACTCCTCAGTGTCAAAGATGGGGAGGCTATGGGTGAGACCTCCCTTCTAGTGACCTGTGGCTGCCACCCAGCTCTGCCTGCCCCTTCCTCTCCTGACTTCCCATCAGCCTGACCTTGCCTGGACAGTGACTTCACTTGTGGTCTATTTTAGGGATAGTCTGCCACGTCTTCCACTTTGAGACTTGTAACTTCTGACCCTCCCTGGTTCTAGACTACACCACCTCCTATCATCCTTGGTTCAAGACAGCAAGACCTAGGGCCATCCTCAGATCTAGACCATACAGGCTCTGGCCTTTGTTGGTTCTAAATTATAGGACTGGCCTTCCCTGGTGCTAGAGGCCTATGGCCTCCCTGGTTGTAGACTTTCCACTTCCTGGTTCTAAAGTGTGCAACCCATGGCCTTCCCTGGTTATAGACTGCACAGCTGCTGATATTTCCTGGTTCTAGACTATTCCATTGGTGGTCTCCCCCTGCTTCAGGACTGTACAAACTCTGCCTCTCCCAGGTTCTGAGTTTATGACCTCTGGCCTCCCCTGGTTCTAAACTGTGTTACTCCCACCTCTTTGGTTCTAATCTTTTGTTTGGTGAGATTCTGTGGTTCTAGACTGTACCACCTATGGCACCTCTGAGGTTCTAGACTGTTGCCTCTGACCTTCTTTGACTCTAAACTGTAGGACCACTGGAATTCCCTGAGTCTAGACAGTGCTACCACTGATGTCCCCCTAGATCCAGACTGTCCTGCCTCCAACACAGTCTGCCTCAAACCCCTCAAATTCCAAATCTCATAGTCTTTAGCTCTTTCTTGTTCTGGATCCCACAATCTTCAATTCTGCCCATTTTCAAATCATGAAGTCTTAGAAAATGGGGTTTGAACTGTAGTTTCCTCTGGTTCTAGATCTCTTCCCAGTATTCCCTCTGGGTCTCAAGCTCACACCCTCTACCTCTCTGTGATTG